CCACCAACGATACTTAACGTCGAACAACCACCATCAATACTTAACGTCGAACAACAACAATCGACCGTCAATAAACTAAAGTCTCATAAACCATCAATAAATTCAATAAGTAAGAATGAAAGTGGTAATATTTTGGATATTAAAGATGATAAATTATCACGAAATTCATCAATAAATTCAACAAGTAGTTTCAAAAGTGCTGTTGATCCCGATGATTTATTTAAACCGGAAGAATTACCACAACCATCATTATCACGTAATTCTTTGATAAATGAATCATCAACATCATTAAATCCACCAATACTTGACGTCGAACAACCACCAACAATACTCAACGTCGAACAACCACCATCAATACTTAACGTCGAACAACCACCATCAATACTTAACGTCGAACAACAACCACCATCAATACTTAACGTCGAACAACAACAATCGACCGTTTTACCTTCAACTTTGAAAAATGATACTAAAGCACCAGAATCAGAATCATGGTTTAATAAAGTAAAAAAGAATTTTATTGACCAAACAATAGACAAGTTTCGGTCTAAAATTTTAACATCAGATCCAACACAAGATGATCCATGGGCAACACCAAAATCATGGACGGATAAACTAGGATCTTGGCTAGCAGATAATATTGCTGCAGAACTTGAAGAGGCTGATTATCTTATTGACCCAAATACTGGTGAATATCTTGCTCAAGCATCAGAACCTGCACCGGCACCAGCTTCATCATCAAAACCATCATCATGGACGGATATATTCAAATCTTGGCTAAGAACAAATGTTCCTCCAGAATTTGACGAGACTCATGTTATTGACCCAAATAACAATAGTCAATTGCTTTCGCGAGCACCAGAAACAGCACTAGCATCAACATTAGAAAAATCATGGACGAAGAAACTAGGATCTTTTGTAGCAGAAAATCAATCAACATTTGCACCATTAGCACCATCATCAATTTATGAACAAATTAAACCTTGGATACCAGATAAATAATATCCAGATATAAATATTAATGATGATTATATGATTGAATCTTAAAAGGTTCCACCTACCAGCGATGATCATAATATGCGTCGTTTTTAAATAATCAAAAAATTCTATGGGCTATGGTTTAAGATTTTTTTTTCTCAAACGTGCTGCTAAATCGAATATGTTACAACAATAAAAAACAAAAACAAAACAAAAATGATTATAAATTTCACTAGCTATTTATTTTATTTTATGAATTTTGTTTTTATTTTTTTGTTTTTGAATTTTTTTCGCAAATGATTAAATTATCTTTTATAGATAATCATAACAAATTGCTATTTTCACACTTGGTAATGATTGTTATTATTATCATTTTGAATAATGTTTGTATGGCTAATGGTAGTAGATCATTCATAGTAATTGGTAATCATAGCATGGTGGTCATTAATGATAATAATAAAAATAATAAAAATAATCAAGCTGAATGGAATACGATAAGATATCCATATAAAACAGTTTATGGTCTACCAAATTCATTACGATGTCTTGAAACAGTTTATCATCAATTCGATGAATGTGAAATATCATCACATAATGAATGGAATGTTACTATTGATGATTATGTAAGTCGTATTTTTTTTGTTATGATTTTTAAAATTAATTAAAAAAAAAAAAAAATTTTTTGACCGTTTTTTTTCGTTTTGTTTTTTTTGAACAATAAAAAATAATCAAAAACAAGTTTTATGAAACAAGAAAATTTTGCTGTTTCGTTTGGAGTACATTGGATTGTGAACAAAAAATAGCCGAAAAATGTAATNTGTTACTATTGATGATTATGTAAGTTGTATTTTTTTTGTTATGATTTTTAAAATTAATTTAAAAAAAAAAAAAATTTTTTGACCGTTTTTTTTCGTTTTGTTTTATTTGAACAATAACAAATAATCAAAAACAAGTTTTATGAAACAAGAAAATTTTGCTGTTTCGTTTGGAGTACATTGGATTGTGAACAAAAAATAGCCGAAAAATGTAATATAGAATTTGCAAATAAACTTGAATATGATGCAAGAAAATTATTTCAATCAATGTGTAGTCGTATTGGTTATTCACAAAATAGTATGCATTGTCGATGGACAGCAGAACAATTACAAATTGCTAGTTATATAATTGTAGGTTTGGTTTTCATTCTATTTATTATCTTTACAATTATTGGATTATATAAATATAATCATCGTTCAAGTAATAATGCTGATTTGTAAGTTTAATATTCAAATAATTATCGTTTACAAAAATTTCAAATTTATTAATTTTCTTTATTTAAAAAATAATAATAATAATAATCAGAGCAAAAAAAATTGCTGGAAACGATCAATTATCACGAAAATCATCATTATCATCATTAACATTTAAAACATTTTCAAATGATAGTTTATCTAGAACAAGTTCATCATCCAAATCATTATCATATAAATTAGCAATACCTGGAACAAGTTCATCAGCCACAACATTATCTAATTTTGAACAATTGCCAATACCTTCTCCTCCACCTCCTCCACCATCTCCTTTATCTCCAATGACTATTCGTACAAGGGAACCAGCACCATCATTGAATTCGATTATTTCAAAATTACTTCCTTACCATCCGCATCAATTTTTGTTCTGTTGAATTCTGTTGTTTATAAATTATTAAATTATTGATTGATTGTTGATAATTATAAACAAACAAAATTCAAATAAAATAAAATAATTTTACAAATTAATAAATAAAATAAAAACAAAAATGATTGGAATTTTATTATAAATTTGATGAAATTTTTTTTTGAAAAATTCATAATTTTTTTTTTGTTGAGAAAATCATTTATATAGAAATATTACAATATATTCTATTCAAATGATTAAATTGTTCTTTATGGATTATCGATTCTATTCTAAATTGTTAATGATTATTGTTATAATTATCACTGTGAATAATGTTCGTATGGCCAATAGTGATAGTTCATTTATTTTGCATGGTAGACAAAATAATCAAACTGAATGGGATACTGTACGATATCCATATAAATCAGTTTATGGATTACCAAATTCATTGAATTGTGATGAATCAATTATTAATCGATTTTATGAATGTGAAAAATCATCATTTCATAATTGGGAAGTCACTATTGATGATTATGTAAGTTGTACAAATAGAATGATTTGATAAAATTGTTAAACCAAAATTGACTTATTTTGTTCTGTTTCATTTTTTTTTTTTTTT